AGCTGCGATCGAATTAGGTTTCACATCTGACCTTAATTTCGACAGGCATAAAATATTGTGGCAAGGTCGACGAGGAATGCGCTGGAATGGTGTCTTTAAACTTTTAAAACATTTACTTACGTTCATTGATCCACCAAATTTCTTGGTATTACATTGTGGAGCAAACGACCTTGGCCGTATGAAGACCATTGAATTAATAGTTGCAATAAAACGTGATTTGAAAAAAATTCAAATGATATTTCCGCACACTAAGATAATTTGGTCGCAAATGATAACAAGGATTGCCTGGAAACGTGAAGGGAGACCCGATATCGAAAAAAGTAGGGCGCGAGTGAATAGCGCAATTGCAAAACATATTCTATATCATTACAATGGAGGGTACATTAAGCAGTCAAATATCCATCATAGTCCCGACAATTACCGCCCCGACGGGGTACACCTCTCTACGCCTGGTAATAAGCTGTTCCTTGAAAATTTTAAAAGTGGACTCTCAACTATTATAAACTCCCAAAATAACGTGTATTCCTTATGATATGTATCGGTGTGGTCACGGCTGGATATTTGAGTAGGGTGTTAAGCTACCCCCACATTGGTGGCGGCGTGAATAGTTAATGAGTACCTATGCACGTTTGGCGAATTTAGCTTAACACATATCATCTTGACTTGCGCCGCTGTTAACAGGGCGCAACTCGAACATGATTGCGTGGATAATTCTGGAATGGAATACAAGGAACTTGTATATAATTTACATTGAACATTGATTGATTTATTTGATTATTGATTGGCTTAACATGAGCATACAATACATTGATCTGAATGAACTGAATATTGATTTGTTGAATATTGTTTGAACATTGATTGATCTAATTGAATATTATTGATCGAATTGAACATTCATTGATTGACTTGAACATTAATTGATCGTATTGAACACTGATTGATGCATATTGATTGATGCATAAGGCTGACGCAACTGCAGGAACTTTGAAGCTAAACGTCAGTCTTATCCTGTAAAACTTTGACATGTGTACAGTTAATATTGATTGATTGATTGTTGATTCATTGATTGATTGTTTGTTTGCTTGCTTTTATTGGAGGTGTGCCAAAAACCAATTGGGTCGGCACCCATTGTACACGTGTATTTTTCATAAATTGATTTGAACCAGCCGTGGCCATTAAAATGCCAAACTTAAGAAATAAATAATTAATTAGGAAACGTTAAATTCACTGTTGTTTTTGTGTGGAGTCTGTGATAATTGAAAAATTAAACGAATATTACTTGTAAGATGAAGTTTGATTATAATTCTACCAAATCAACTTAATGCTGAGGAATAACATGAGATGTGACGTAGCCATCACGTGATTCAGTTTTTAAAGCAAATTAAATATGAATACATGCCCATACATACTCCCCTGGGAGGGAGGGACGGGCATGTTATTCCTCAGCATTAAGTTGATTTGGTAGAATTATAATCAAACTTCATCTTACAAGTAATATTCGTTTAATTTTTCAATTCTACCAAATCAGCAATGCTGAGGAATACCATGAGATTTTAGAGAATGTGTTCATATTTAAGAAATTTTTGGATAATTAAAAAGAAAAACCATTCCATAAAAGAAAATCAGTCCATTTAATAAAATTGCAATTGTTGAAACAACATATATACAAACAGTCAAGATAATGCACATTACTTGACATTTGATAACATACTTGGCGAAAAACTCTTCTGCTCTTTGGCAACAATGTTTCTTTTGTAAAATTTTTGAAAAGTCTGTGCATTTGTCCACCCTGCATTTCTCAAAATGTCTGTTATAGGCACTCCACATTTTTGTGCGGCACTTGTCGCTGCTGCTCGGGTAGAATGTGGTTTAAAAACTTTTGTATTTATTTCAGCTGCGATCATAACACATTTGATCCAATTACTTATTGTGTCTCTTGTTACACCCTTGTGTGGTTTCATAGTTCTTACAAAAAGTTTGTTGTCTTCTCTGATGGTTTGAGTTCTCAATATATAAGTTTGAAGAATTCTAACTAAACATAATGTTTTGTCTTCTAAAAAAGGTTCAATAACTACATCATTTAAATGAAAAGAAGGTCTAGTAGTCTTTAACAAACTGTTGTAACAAATTTTTACAACATTGCTTTCAAACAATATATCATCTACCATTAGCAAATGAAGAGTTTGTCCTCTCTGACCTGTCAACAAAGACAATAACATCACACATTTTAAGGTTAATTCTTTAAGGGAAAGACATTCCAAAGGTTCCATCTTTCTCAGATATTGAAAAACAATATTTACATCCCAAATATGTATATTTTTATGAAATACTGGTTTTTTGACAAAAGTTCCTCTCATAAATCTTTGAACTAATGGATTAGAACCAAGATTAACATCACCTAAAGACAAAAAACTTGACAAAGCTGATTTAGCTGTATTAATAGCACTGTAACCTAAGTTCCTATTTGCTAGTGATTGTAAAAATTCCAACACCACATTTATAGAGGGTGTAAATGGATCAGTTTGGATTCGTTCACAAAATAACAACCATTGCTTGAGATACGTCCAATATTGAATTCTTGTTGATTTTCGCCAGGACGAGGTAATAGTGTCAATAACTTCTGTTGATAAGTTTTTGTCCTGGAGGAGTTTCCTGATAATCGGAAACACCCCAGCCTCATCTTGCTCAGAGGATGGAGACGCGCAACATCTGTCGGCATAATTAATGTATCCGTCTTCTTTGGAATGATGTAACACTGACCTGCCACCAGTTTCAGTAACTTCGGGAACCAGCACTGATTTGAAAACAGGGGTGCTATCAACACTACTTCTGCTAGATCCATCTCTATCTTCTGTAGTACTTGTTGTAGAATACTGAAAGGAGGAAACAAATACATCAAATGATCACTCCAAGAAATGGAAAAAGCATCAACAGCTATTGCCATTGGATCAGGTAAATATGAAACATATTTTGGTAATTGTTTGTTTATTCTTGAAGCAAACAGGTCTATTGCTCTCCCTAAAGAGTACTTCTGCTTAATGACAAGAAATATATCTTTATTGAGCATCCATTCCAAATCATCATTGAGTTTTCGTGAGAGTTTATCGGCTTGGACATTTTGCACACCAGGTACATGTGAAGCACTTATCCAAATGTTTTTAGAAATGCACCACTCCCACATATCTTTACACAAATTGTTCAGTTCTTCTTTTCTTCCCCCCATTTTATTAATGTATGATACTGCTACCATACTATCCATTTGAATAGCAATGTGTTTATCAGTACATGCACTAAAAAATGATTGTAAGGTTAGAAAAGCTGCTTTTAGTTCTAACACATTAATGTGTGATCTTTGCTCAATATAAGACCAATGTCCTCCTGTTTTCTTATTTGTATTGGGAACCAAACCACCCCAACCTAGTTTGGAACTGTCTGTTTGAATAATAATTTGGGGAGTGGACAATGGCTGATAACTCTTACACTTTTCTGCATTATCAATCCACCAGGTAAGTTCTTTTTTAGCACAATTTGATAAGATGAATTTCCCATCAAAATTTCCCTTATTTTCTTGAAGACGTCTGTTCTTTTCTATTTCTAGAATTTTTATATGCAATGGTGCATATGGTATTGCTGGTTCAGCAGCCACAAATTTCCCAATGACTCTGGAAAAATCGCGGATAGAAATTTCATGCTTACGAAGTAATTTCTCACAATCTTGAATAATGTCTTTTGCTTTTTCTGGTGTTAAAGACATTGTCATGTTTTGAGAATTCAGCACAAATCCTAGGAATGATATACTTTGTTTTGGTATTAATACTGACTTCTCCGGGTGAATGGTAAACCCCAAATTGTCTAATAATGAGACCGTTTTAAGGACATTTTCTTGACATTCTTCAAAACTTTCTCTTTGCAAAAAAGTGTCATCTATGTAAATCAAACTTAAAAATCCATGTTTGTGTAACACTGAAAACACAGGTTTCAGAAGCTTGGTGAAGACCCTTGGACTACTTGTTAATCCCATGGGCAATGCAGTGAATTCATAGCACTGACCCTCCCATACAAAGCGTAGGAATTAACGAAAATTTTTATTTACATTAACGGAATAATATGCATCTTTTAAATCAACAGATGCAAACCAACAATCTTTCTTCATCATGTGTACTGCAGATTTAAAAGTGTCCATTTTAAAATGGTGATACTGAACATCTTCATTTAGTTCTTTCACATTGAAAATGAGTCTGTTTGAACCATCCTTTTTTGGTCTAAGAAAAATGTTAGAAATAAAGTCATTCTCACATCTATCTACTTTTTGTATGACATTTTTCTGTTCTAATTTCAGAATTTCTTCATTCACAAGTTGACTTTCTTCGTCATTAAATTTTAGTTCGGGTTTAGGTCTATTTTGTTGGGGCAGTGTATCAAATTCAATTTCATACCCTAACACAGTGTCTAATATCCACTTGTCAGTTGTTATAGATTTCCAGTTTTCATAAAATTCCCTTATCTTTCCTCCTTGAAAATTTTCAGGAACATTTATTAAATTGTTCACATCAACTGGAAGTTCAAACAAAGCATTTTCTGTGAATTTTCTTTCACTACTATAACTACTTACACAATGATCTAATCTGGTTGTTTCAGCTGCGGGCAGGGATTTTTCTACTTTTTGTTCGGCACTGGTTTCCTGCCCTTGCTCCTCCCTAAAAAAGGGTTGCTGTTGTTGTTGTTTGTTTCCTTGTAGTTGTAATTGAATCTGCCATAGGTATGTTTTGGTCCACCATATTGTGAATAACCTCTGAAGTGGTTTCCACCAGATCCTTTTCCATGATTTGCATTTCTTGATGTTGACGTGTCATGCTGATTTTCATTCAACTTTTTGCCCACTTTTCTTGAAGCATCTATTTTCTTTATCTGCTCGTCCATGCTATCTCCAAACAAGAAACTTGTCACTTGATTTGTATCATTACACAGGGGTTTGTACATCGGCTTAAGTTCTGGTCGAATTAGGTGCCTTCGTTTGTGAGAGATATCAGTAAATGCCAGCTCGCTAAGTCTAGCATTTCGTTAGTGTCTTTTGATGACACGGTCTTTGTTGTTTTCTTGCTGACAAGCAATTTGTCTAGAAGAGTGCAAGTTGGCACCATAGCTTTCAGAATAACAGATTGTGTTTTCTGTAGTTTATAATCGCATGACTGAGATTTTTTGCGCAATGATGGCCAGACTTCTGGATTACATTTTGGAACAGTCATGTTGTCACAGTTCTTAGGCCGAAAATATTTTTCACACAGTTTCTTAGCCTTTTCTTCTGATGGTCTGTTTTGAAATGATTTATTGAGGACCTTAGAAAGTTCTTCACTAATATTCGGTCCAGTTCTGTCATCATTTAACATAAAATCTTCTAGGGATCCTAAAAAACTCTTGTCATCTTCGTCTTCACTCTGTTTTTCTTTAGCTTCATTGATAAGAACATCGAAATCGTCAGCCTCATCAGAATCAGCTGTTTCTGTTTGATGATTTGTCTATAATAAAAAACAAAAAAATTTTCTTGTTAAATAGATTAACTTGATATGTAAGCCGTTTAGGCTTAATGCAAAGCTACTGGGAACCGACTATCGGAATGTTCCAATATGATAAACATAATCATAAATTTATCATTGCTTGAATTTTTAAAACTAAGGCATGTGTAAAACTTGCCTTCTGTAATTTGTTTGGCACTGGAGGTTCTGTCTCCGCCAATCTTTTTGACTGCATAAATTCCTGCAACATTTTCTGGTTCTGGAAAAATAATTTTTTCCAATAAAGATCGTCTTCGTCGGCCATGTTGTTTGTTTTTGTTTGGGAATTCTGGGATATGTGTTCTGTGCTCGGTCTGTCACTCATTGTTTTGGCGGTTTTCGACGCTCCGCCCCTTGAAACCTGAGTATCTCCAGCCGATCTTATGTAATCAATCGAGTCAAACGATTCTACAATTTCCTCAGAAATTGCTTCAGGAACAACAGTTAAGGTTTGAAAACCACTGTTCTGCTGGGCTGAAATGCCCGCGACCACACTGTCGAAGACAGCCTCTACTGAATTATTCAGAGAAGGTCGCTTGGCCTGATTGGCCATTGTTCACAAAGGATTTGGGTCAGGGCTTATGACCCTAAACAAAGTCACGTTGCGACCACGTTGAAGGACTTCTCCAATTGTAAACACGATGTCCAGGATAAAACTTAAGTAAAAACACAAAAATCCTCTAAATTCGTAATCAAAATAGGAAATAACGCTAAAAATTTTCTCTGCGACTAGAATGGCGGCTTGCTCGAATCACTGTTTACTACGCACTGAATCACGTGATGGCTACGTCACATCTCATGGTATTCCTCAGCATTGTTGATTTGGTAGAATCGGATTTATGCAGTGAATACGATATAAATCCATATATCACAGCGCACCACGCGGTATAATGCGCGCGCAATATACGCGCAGAGCATAGGAGCAGTCAGTTATCAACCACCCTCAAAGATACACGTCTTAATTTAAGTACTGCTTAATTGGGGAAATATTTTCAAAAGCCCTCCCTTCCAAATCCCTAATTTCTTGAATTCGTTTTCTGTGTGTTGAGTTTTTTCTTTCAGGAAAGATACTGAAGTTTTGGAGCCACGACTCATTCTAAGACGTTGCCTAGCCATGTCCGACTTCCCCCCTTTTCGACAGAGTTACATGCCAGAGTGATGGATAGTGCCAAGGACCAGGAGGAGGAGTTTCACTTATCCAATCATAATGACACTCGCCGCTGTAAACTGGGCGTAGTTGTTGTTTATGATAATCATCAATCTGCTTCACAGCAGCATCGTCACGGCTGACCCTATCTGCACCCAGTATTGTATTCTACGTAATAACCTTGATAAGAGCCAATGGCTGAAAGGCGAATTTAGCTTAACACATATCATCTTGACTTGCGCCGCTGTTAACAGGGCGCAACTCGAACATGATTGCGTGGATAATTCTGGAATGGAATACAAGGAACTTGTATATAATTTACATTGAACATTGATTGATTTATTTGAATATTGATTGGCTTAACATGAGCATACAATACATTGATCTGAATGAACTGAATATTGATTTGTTGAATATTGTTTGAACATTGATTGATCTAATTGAATATTATTGATCGAATTGAACATTCATTGATTGACTTGAACATTAATTGATCGTATTGAACACTGATTGATGCATATTGATTGATGCATAAGGCTGACGCAACTGCAGGAACTTTGAAGCTAAACGTCAGTCTTATCCTGTAAAACTTTGACATGTGTACAGTTAATATTGATTGATTGATTGATTGTTGATTCATTGATTGATTGTTTGTTTGCTTGCTTTTATTGGAGGTGTGCCAAAACCAATTGGGTCGGCACCCACTGTACACGTGTATTTTTCATAAATTGATTTGAACCAGCCGTGGCCATTAAAATGCCAAACTTAAGAAATAAATAATTAGGAAACATTAAATTCACTGTTGTTTTTGTGTGGAGTCTGTGATAATGTACTTTGGGTGTATTTTTGGTTTGCAGAATCCCAATGAATATTTATTCATTGAGGAACATAAATTTATGATTATATTTTTTGGTGTTTTTTTATCATATAAAGGTTTTGTTTCGTAAATTGCATGATATGTTTCTGATAACTATAAACTTTTATAAATTCTAAAACATAGCATAAAAGCAAAAAAAAAAAAACCAACGTTATTTAACTATATAAATTCATTTCCCGTTGCTCTTACTTTTAAACTTACATATACATCATTCTGTAAGGAAGAAGGATATGGAGATAACGAACAGTATTCAATCTCAGAGTCCATAAAACAATACAACTTAGGAGCAGAGCAAACACGGACCTCCGAAACATAAGATTTTGCACAAATTCTGCTTCATATGAATACAAAAATAGGTCTACTAATAACGAATTGCAATTGGTACCCATGGAAATTTCAATAAATTGTTGGAAGGATGGTATAAAAAAAAACCACATACATGTAGATATTGTCAATCAGAAACTCAAGCATCTTTTAGATTCATAATTTTGCAAATGACCAATTACCAGGTAGGTAGTTTTACGAGTTCCATTTTTTATTGAAAAAGCAAATGACAATGAACTAAAAAAGACAGGAATTTAATTTATCGTGGGGAATGGTAGTGTATAAAGTTGAAAAGTCGTAAGTTCTTAAGCTGTTGATTTTGGTAAATTCTTGTAATTTCAAATTGTCCATAAGTTTTTTGTAATTTTTGAGGATCCACATCTGATTCACACCACTTCTTGAATATATTGTTGCACAGTACTCTTGAAGGTTTTCCTTCACTACTGTTAATCTTAATGAACTGTCACAGAGTAATCGCCCGAACTAATTGTTAATTAATTGTAAATGAGTGAGTGATAGGTTGCAGGTGCGCGGCGCAGGCGTTGTAGCCCTGTTTCCCAAGAGTGTAATTTGAGTTAGTTAGAAAGAAAGCGAGTGGACAAGCATGGATTTATAATTTGTTTATTTGTCATTTCTGTTATCGTTGTTTATTGTGCATGATAGAGTTCTGAGAGATGAAAGTGAGCATTAGATTGATTTGTGTGAGAAAGTGGGGAAAAAGAGATTTGGTATGGCCATGCCCTGGGAACGCGCGTGAGAGAGAGGAGAACAAGTCTGAAAGTCAACGAGTGTGGATGTGTTTTTGTATTGTGAACAATTGTGATTTCTTATATATATATCTGTGTTGTAAATATGTAAATAAACAATGTAAATAAAAACTATAGTCATCCATTACCAGTGCCAGTGACAGGGAGGACCCCCGTCACATATTATGGTGGCCAGCGGTCGGATGAGATCATCTTAAATATTTCGACATGTACTTTGGAAAATTAATTTTTGGTCAAATACTGTAAAGATGCCACGGAAGAAGAGACAGGAGCCAATTGAGGATATTATTCCCGAAGCTGTGCCTGAAGTTAGACAGCCGTCCAACCTGATTAAGCCTACCCCATTCTACGGGAAACTCGACGAAGACTTTGATTCATGGATTAAGAACTTTGATCGAATATCCAGAGCTAATTTCTGGACCGAACCAAGAAAATGCATAACGATACCTGCATTCCTCCGAGATCAAGCTGCAGATTATTATGAATCTTTAGACGACGATGTGAAAGATGACTACTGTTCCGTTTGTGACGCTCTGCGGGAAAGATTTATTCCTAAAGAACTGCAATCTCTGTATTATTCCAACTTGTTCGGATACAAACAGGCAGAGATGCTAACCGTAGAAGATTATGCGTCGAACATAACGAAGCTTGCTACGCGTGCCTACATGGACATGCCTGGGAGGCAAAAGGAAACCCTCACTAAAGAGCATTTCGTCCAAGGATTACGGCCTGAAATCAAGAGGTATGTGTTACTTTCTAACCCTAAGACGTTTGAGGAAGCTTTCAGGCATGCGAAGAGGGAAGAATGTAACAACTTCCTGGCAGATGCCCCAATGGCCAGAGGAACTGTGGCATCTATGTCTTACGCTCCTTACGAGAACGGAAGAACTGGAAAAGTCACTCGCAGACCTGACCGCCAAGGTGTCAGTGATGGCAACTGAAATCGGTAGATTCGCATCGAAACAGCAATTTGTTCCTCCGTCTCGAGGACAAAGCCGTGGAGGAAGCCGAGGAGGAAGAGGCCGAGAATTCGGATTCCGCCCCCGACCAGACCGAAATCTTAGGACTACGGACGGGAGACCAATCTGCAACAAATGTCGTAGAGTAGGACACATAGCAGTTCGTTGCAATGAGCAACAAAGAAGCGCCAATTCGGAAAACTAAAGTCCGCCCTTTTGTGTGGAGGTAAAGGGCTAGAGGATCTAAAATACCCTCCTAGAGACAGCCGGTTGCGTAAAAGAGAAGAGGATTATTCTTCCGAAAGTAGTGAAAAAAGTGTTGAAAATGTGAAAAATGTATGTGAAAATATTGTTTCTTGTCAATTAAATCCTAAATTTTGTACCGCCAAAATTGTAGGATATGTGAATGAAAAATGTGCTGCGATGTTGGTCGACACCGGATCTAGTGTCACGATTATAAATGAAGCTTTCGCAAGCCAGAGTGGTATGGTGCCGGCTGGAGGAGTTAGTGTTACATCGGCAACGGGCAACCGTGTCGATATTGTTGGGAAGTGTGACTTTACGTTAAGAATTGGTGAACAAACCGATGTTGTATATAATGCATTTGTTGCTCGTGAATTCCCGTATGATTGTATTTTAGGTTTGGACATTTTGAAGGACTGTGCATGCTATATTGATGTTGCAAATGATTCTGTATATATAAATGATGAATGTATCTCATTTATTTCTGATGCAAGTTCGACTAGCGAGAGTGTGCAAGATGCATGTAATTACAAGAACTTGAATGGGATTGAGATAAATGAGAGCGTTGAGTCTGGTGAGCAAGGTATAGATGATTTCTATGTATCAGGTGATTTAGGTGAAACGGAACGCAAGTCTATTACTAAGGTATTAGATAAGTATAGAAAAGTGTTTGCTTTCAGTGATAATGAATTAGGGAAGACAGATTTGGTTGAACATTCTATAGACACAGGGGACAGTAAACCTATTCACTTGAGGCCTCATAGGATTCCTCACAGCCAGCGGATGTTACTGGAATCCCAGATAGAAACAATGTGCGCTAATGGAATTGTGCGACCGTCTAAGAGTCCGTACTCCGCCCCAATTGTTTTGGTGCCGAAGAAAGATGGCAAAGTTCGCATGTGCATCGATTTTCGTAAAATAAATGAAGTCACCAAAAAGGACGTTTACCCTCTCCCTAGGATCGACGAAATGCTGGATGCACTTAATAAGTCCAAGTACTTCAGTGTCTTAGATTTGTGTCAAGGATACCACCAAGTACCTATTAAGGAAAATGACAGAGAAAAGACCGCGTTTTCCTTCTTTGGAGGGCATTATGAATATAATTATATGCCATTTGGACTGTGCAACAGTGCGCCAACATTCCAGAGACTTATGGACTCTGTGCTTTCAGGATTACTGTGGAACACGTGTCTTGTGTATATAGATGACGTAATTGTCTTCTCGGAAACTATTTCCGACCATGTCAAAAGACTTGAGGAAGTGCTAAAACGATTCGAAAATTCAGGATTAAAGTTAAAAGCGAAGAAGTGTTACTTCGGAAAAACGGAGGTCACGTTCCTTGGACACAAAGTCTCAGCTGACGGAATATCACCTGACACGGAGAAAGTAAAGTCAATTCACAACTTTCCGAGGCCAACAAATGTGAGCGAACTTAGAAGCTTTCTGGGACTCATCTCTTACTACCGTAAGTTTGTAAAGGATTT